TCACCACATTTGACTGCAAGGAACAGATGTATCCCGGATTCTACGGCGATATGGAGGCCGGGTGTCAGGTGTACCACAGCTGTAACGGCAATCTTCGGGGCAGTAAACACACGTTCCTGTGTCCCAACGGCACCATTTTCAGCCAGGAGTATTTGATCTGCGATTGGTGGTATAATGTCAACTGCAACGACTCTCCCCTCTACTACCCACTCAACAAAGAGGCTTTTTCTTCCACTATCAAGACTTCTCCATCCAATGTAACCAAAGTTAAGGCTAACGTCAATAATAAGAGCACTAATAATAAGAAGAAACCCAAGACTACAACAACAGAGTTCGTGATTCGCACAATCACTTCAACCGATTTGCCATAAATATTGAGTTTTAAATCCTTTTGAAAACCCATATATTATTTAATCGATTTGTATTTGTGTTCAAATGAATGAGAAATTGTATTTTTAAACTATTTTCATACGAATTGTTTGTATTTTTTTAAAAAGTTTTAAACTATAAATGAATTTTAATTTAATATACAATTGAATCGATGTATCAATCAAATGGTTTTCATCAAAACATACTTCCATTATATCATTAAAAACATCTAATTTTAACGAAAAATATAAAATGCATTTTAATTATTATTAATTCTTTAAGAAAACAAATAAATTAGTAAAAAGTGGTTAAGAGTGGACTCAATCAGTGATCAGACGGCGATCGCAAAGATCTGTATAATAGAGTGGAGGCTCTTATTCTCCCAACGGATGGTCGAGTGGCCATCACTTGTGTTATCCCAATAACAACTGGTGGCCGTCTGAAGACCCGCACCATTCTTCTGTATGATAGCGCACGTCACTGATGGGCACAATTCAAACACATATCAGATAACACATGGATTACATGGGGAGGAATGGGTTACTCAAGACTAACCGATATATTTGAATGATTTGTTAGATTTAATCAATTGCTGCAACACTTGCTCGACGATAGCGTTGGACCAGTTGTTGACCTTCGAGTGCTGGTAAGTGTTGGAACCGATCACAGTCTCGACCACCTCTTTGGCCACTTTGTTCACCAAATCCGAGTCAAACCACTGAATCAGACAATCAATCAAATTATATATAATTAATGAGAAATCAAATGACAATCAATTTCTTCTCACATTTGTTTCGTTTTGAGACATTTGTGTCAATGATTTTGACAATCAATTAATAGCATAGAAATTGAGTCTTCAATCAAATGATTAAATTGTGGCAAAAGTCGTGTTTATTATATGTTTTGTATTCAAAATCAATGCATAAATCAATTGACAATTAGTTAATAAAATGAATGTTTTATTTCATAACAAAATCATTGAAACGATTGTTGTTTACAATTGAATGAGTGCTCAAAAAGTACAACACTTTATGTTTCGTTCATTAAAAACGTTTTTTAGTTAAAAAGTTTACAATAAATGAAATGATTTTAATTTTAGGTTAAATTTAATTTAATTACAATTTAAATAAATGTTTGTTTGAAATTAAAAGTAATGATTAAAATACAGTTTACGTAAACAAAAGAAATAAAATCGAAACATTAGTTTTGAGTGTCTTTGTTGTCTTCAACAGCGGATGTCTGATGAATGACTTGAATGGGAACCACTCTCTGGTTGTCAATCATTGGTTCGACACGTCTTTTGGGCGCTTCGATAGTCAGCACTCCA